ACACTGCATTATAATGAATTTCCCTGTAAATTATTGACAAAGCTCATAATTCCTTTTGCCAAATGAACTATTAGAGAATGTTAGCTACTTCCTGAGTTACAAACAAAGGGCTTTTGCTAAGAAAATCATTCTGCCACTTCTTTCTGTGGTTGCATTTATCATTTTTCGAGCTTCTTTTGTTGAGAGATCAGGAAATTCTGCAGCCTTTTCCAGGAGGCTCCTTTTAAATTGCCTACAAAATAGTCATTATTCTATACTATATATGATAAATCCTTCTAGTCTGTTATCTTTGTTTTGAGTTACTCTCCTGGAACTTTTCAAAGTTTACCATTGTTTATATTTTTACTGGCTTTTGGGCAAGATTTATATGCATTTCAACTGTCACAATAAATTATATATACCTTCATGTGGCTAAAACTACATTCGCGCTGCTAATTTCATTGTTCTTTCTCTTGCTTCCTTCCCAAGGCTTTCCTGGGAACTGCAGAGACAAGTACTCCAATAGATTATAAACATTGAAATGCTTTATGGTGTTGTCAACCAATAGGCAACACACAAGCCATAGGCAAAATGATTTTTCTTTTCTTTCAGAAACTTTTATGACAGTAAATGCACAAATTACACTTTAGCTTATTGTCATCCTTTTTTAACTCAAGTTCATACACTATTCTCAGATTAGTCTCACAAGAGAAATTTAATTAGCACTTTCTAGTCATATTTGCATTATTTGTTTTTAAATTCTCACCCAAGGACATGTTCATTGATGTGAGAGAAACATCGATTGCTTGCCTCACATATATGCCCCAACCAGAAATCGAACTTGTAACCTGAGTATATGCCCTCAATGGGAATCAAACCCTAGAGCTTTTGTTATATGGAATGGAGCTCCAACCAACTGAGCCATACAATTCAGGGCTAAAACTGTGGTTTTAATTATAATTACAGAACTTAGCTCTACTAAACAAACAATCATATTCATAATAGCTAGTTGGTAGCTAGTTTCTTTTTTGAGATTATGCCTGGCATTGGAATACCTTTCAGGGTACCATGATGTGACAGCCAAACACCTATAACAATGAAATTAATAGAAGTTTTAAAAAACTAGAAAAAATTAATTTAAAAAAGCTATGTGAATGAAATTCTACCTTTATACAACTTAGTGCAATGGCAATATTATGCATTTTCTGTTACAGATTCCTTAGATGACAAGAGTAAAGACCCAGTTTCTAAAGAGTATATTCATTCCAACTTTGCTTGGAAATTCTTTATTTTTATTAGTATAGCTTCTATTTTATCAGTGCAAACTATCCCATCATTCATCCCTCTCTTTAGAGGTTTAGATTATAAAAATTTAAATAATTTTAAATATGATAAAGCATAGAGAAATAACTTCTAACATGCAGGTAGAATTTTTTCACTAGAATTCATTTGTTATTTTGGCGAACATTTTGATTTTTGATCAATTAAATCTACAAAGTAGAATATACCATGACAGATTTAAATTATTATGTACATATACAGTTTTTGGAACATTAAATGAGATGAGGGGAAATAGGTGAAAGTAATACATTTGTGTGTGTGTATGTGTGTATATATATAATTTATAGTTTGATAGGTGTCTCTTCTTTATGAAAACCATTGCTCTTTCTGTTTTCCCTTAAGAGCTAATATTGTAATTGCATTTTCCTCCTGTATTTACTTACCCATCTCTTTGCTGGTGTTACCAGGGTAATCTAAAAAATGACTCATAACAAAGCAGAACTGAAAAATTATAAATCTTGGAAGAACCTAAGAAAGTCATTGTTTAAGACAAGAAAAATCAAGGTAAAAAAGTTCCAAAATAAAACTAAGAAAAATGTAAAGCTGGCAGAAGTCAGAGAAATACTAGGCAGACAAGAAATCAAGATCAGTGAGAACACCTAAGGGAACAAAGGCCAGAGATAAAAGACATGTAAGGAGCATTCTTCCCTCAGAAAACCAGTCTTCTGATCAGTTATTTTTTTCTTTCAAGGTTACAAGTCTTATTATAACTCCAGGGCTTGGAAATAAACAGCATCATAAATGTCAATATATATATACACAATTTGTCATCAGAAGGTAAAGAAGTCTATAAAAACCTAACAATTGTAGTTAGATAAATATAACTATATGTAAAATATATATGATTATTTTTAAATATTTTTATAAATGTAAATAAAGTATTCAATGTTACATGGTCTTAAAATATGCTAAAGATATAAAATATGAAGGCAATGAAGGCAATCGGTATATAACTTTAAAATCTGTATGTACAGTCACATCATGTTAGTATTCACTTTTTTTTTTTTGGTTTCTTTTCTGATTTGGAAAACATATTAAACACAATGTCCAATTTAATTAACTTTGAGATCATTCCCTGTAATATAATACAAGCAAAAAAATGTTTTTGTGTCTATATTTTATATAATTTGAAGATCAATACATGTTTAAAGTATAGTATAAATGCAACATTTTCTGAAAATAATTTTTCTGTAAGTGATGGATATATTTTCAAAATAAAGGTACTTTTGGAAAAATGAATAAAGTTATAATTTATAGAAAGTGTTTAAAGTTTAAAACTGCTTTGGCCGAACCGGTTTGGCTCAGTGGATAGAACGTTGGCCTGCGGACTCAAGGGTCCCGGGTTCGATTTCGGTCAAGGGCATGTACCTTGGTTGTGGGCACATCCCCACTGGGGGGCGTACAGGAGGCAGCTGATCAATCTCTGTCATCGATGTTTCTAGCTCTCTATCCCTCTCCCTTCTTCTCTGTAAAAAATCAATAAAAATATTTTTAAAAAATTCTTAAAAAAAAACACCTGTGTTTTAAAAGTAAAATAATAGTTCTCTATTAAAACTAACCATATTATTGTCATTATCCAATTTTCCACTTCTGAAACTGGACACTTCTAAGATTTTTACATAAACTACCTAACTTCACTTGTCTAATTACTAAAAATGGGCTCTGGAAGACATAAATATAAAACTTCCGACTCTACAACTTTAAGATTCCATGTAATTATTTTGTGTCTATATGTACAACTATCACTGAGCAGTCATAGAATCACACATCAAGGTGACTGCTCATTCTTTTTATACATATATTAGCCTTTGATTCATTTCATCATTTTCAGAAAAATATAGAAATAATGCATTTCTTATATTGTCATATTAATTTAAATGCAAACATTCTCTTGCACCTTTTACTTTATAGTAAAAAAGTAATTTTCAGATATCTTCTCACTGATTATTACAACCTGAATTTTCTGATACCATTTTATAAGGAAAAAAATATCTAAGTCATTCCAAAGATGCCAATTCAATTACTACTTTAATGAAAACTATATTTTATGCAAAAAAATAACTCAAATAAATGCATTTAGGATGTAAATAAACTGGAAATAATCATGGTTACATTGGTTCACATGGATTATGTTATAAAATATAAATTTGGAGTTTGAAAAAAATTTCAATAATTTATAAAATATTCCATGATGCACACATGATTTGATTGCTAAAAATAGAGTTAATCCATGGCAGATCTTTTGTTTTGACCTCTTATCTTCTTTTGTCCTTTTTTCTTATTATAATCTCTTTCTTGTTCTCTTCTGCATATTCATATCTTATATGTCCTTATGGAAAAATATCAGGACTCAACTTCTGTATGAATTTAAGCGTATTTCAGATAATTCTGTTCCAACCTGTTTATGCTTTCTATTCCTATCAAAAATTCTAAATCATTTTCTCCCCAATGTTTATTAGTTTTAGATACACTGACTATTTTAACTATCTTCCTCATGAGGCTATTTTTTTGAAGGCTAGCAGGTATATCTTCTACTGTCATTTAATCACTATACCTAATATAATGTCATATATGCAGCAAGTATTTAGTAAAGATTCTATTTTTTTCCTAAAGAAATAATGAAAATAATAAAAACAATTATATCTATTTTACTCTAAATACCTGTTTTACCCCAAATACCTTAAACAACTTAATGTTCTAATTTATGAGCTTTAGGAATATTTTCAGAAAATAAACATGTTCAACTAAATCCAAAGGATTAAAAATGCAGTATATACATTCAATGGAACATTATTCAGCCTTAAAAAGGAAGGGAGTTCTACACATGCTACAGCATGGATGAACCTTGAGGACATTAAGCTCAGTGAAATAAGCTGGTCAAAAAGAAAAAAACTAAAACAAATACGGTCTAATTCCACTTATCTGAAGTATCTAAAGTAATCAAATTCATAGAAATAGAAAGGAGAATGATGGTTACCCGGGATTGGGGAGTAAGAAATGGGAGTTATTGTTCAATGGCTACAGAGTTTCCTATCTGCAAGATGAAAAAGGTCTGAATATATTTCATAACAATGTAAATATAGTTAATGCTATTAAACCATAAACTTAAAATGGTATGTGGTTTTGTTTACGAAGATAAAAATACATGAAAAAAGAAAAGAAAATTCTCCCTAGCAAAGCATAATACAAAACAGAGTAAAAAACTTTGATTAAAATTTTGCTTAAATATAAAGAAATACTTAGCATTGATTAATGCTTTTTATACTTTGTATTGATTAATGCTGTTAGAACGAAAATTGTTCAAATATTAACTGGAAAACAGTTTTGTGAAAAAAAAAGAATAATGAGGATTAAAGCATCAAGATTAAGATGCAAGAATGTTCATGGTCAAGAGAAATCTATAATAATAAAAGTGTAATATGCTAATTACACCTGACAGCTGAATGACCTTCCAGACAACCTTCTGGACAAAGCTGGGGTTGCAAGAGCCAAGCTCCTTGCACAAATTTCGTGCATCGAACCTCTAGTTTAGCATAATATTATTTCTGAGTTCCATGCTAAGATATGGTTTCCACACATTCTTTCCATCATAATATTGAACTTATTCTTACAGATAATTTTGAACCAATTTGATAAAAATAAGTCTATAATATAAATTCTAATGTATATATAAAACTTACATGTTTTATGAAACTTTTGTTTAATATCATGAATAGTAGACGTTTGCATCATCTGCAAAGGAAAAGAAAATAGAGAAAATTACTGTAAGGAAAAGGTGTTTATCTGTTTGCTGTATATTTAGTAAGGAAACACAATTTAATATGTTTGAAGTGTAAAGTTATTACAAAATAGTCTATTCGTTTTGTTTAACTTTTTAGCCATTGTTGCTATGACAACTTGAAATATACTAGTGCCCTGGTGCACGGATTCATGAACATTGAAAGGAAATTAATTATAAGAAATATTTTAATATAGCTATTCGCCCTTTCTCTATAATAGAAGTGTCAACCAAATTCATGATCAACAATGACAGATTGAAACACATGCATGTGATTACCGCCAGCAAGAGCTTTATATGTATTGCAAATGTGGGAGTCAACTTAACCCTTTATACATATGGAATAAACTTGCTTAATGAGACCTGCTTTCTGATTTAGCTAAACTTTTTCCAGCCCAATGAAGCACTCCAACTTCTCTTTCAAGTAATTATCAGCAACACAGCAGTAAATATCAACATGAAGCAGATTATTATTGTATGTCACCCAGGGAGAACAAAGGGTAAAATATTTAACTGCAGCAGTGTTTGACTATATTCTGCACAGTGAGAAAACCTGAAGTCATTTTCAAGGTCCACCATTTCTTACTTCTTTTCAGTCGGGTCAAGTTTCTGAGCTTTCTAAATCTCCATTTTCTGGCTAATAAAAGAAAATAGGATTCTATCAAGTCTCCTATCTACCTACTCTAGGACTTCTGTGAGGATCAAATGAGATGAGCCACAGGAAAACACTTAACAGACATTTGGTTAAAGTGTAAAATGTTTGCACCTGGCTATAAAGCAAGTTGTGTTCTTGGGCTGAAGAAACTCCAAGGAGACTAGTTGCTACGCAGTGATGGCGAACCTTTTGAGCTCGGAGTGTCAGCATTTTGAAAAACCCTAACTTAACTCTGGTGCCGTGTCACATATAGAAATTTTTTAATATTTGCAACCATAGTAAAACAAAGATTTATATTTTCGATATTTATTTTATATATTTAAATGCCATTTAACAAAGAAAAATCAACCAAAAAAATGAGTCCGCGTGTCACCTCTGACATGCGTGTCATAGGTTTGCCATCACTGTGCTAGAGAGAGGAAGACGGGCGTTGCTACATAACGTTATTACGCGGAGCCCACAGCAACCATTTCCTGACTGAGCTGGACTATGGGACTCATTTTGTGCCATGAGGCCTTGGCAGCGTTGGCTGCGATTTGGTGGGGTGTTGCTCCGGGGTGTTGGTGGGGCCTGTGTCCCACTTGCGGGAAGCTGAGTGTTGCTTTGTCGGCACCAGGTTTGCGATGCCATTTCTTTGTAAATGAGCAGTGCATGTCAGAGCAGCTCCTGTGTTGAGCATCTGCCCCCTGGTGGATTGAGCATCTCCCTCCTGGTGATCAGTGTGCATTATAGCTACCGGTTGGATGGTCGGAGGGACACAGCATAATATATATATATCTTTCCAAATTTTTAATTTAAATATAGTAATAATGGTATTATTATATGAGTTCATCCTAATCTATATCTCTAAAATGAATTTTTGAATTTTCTCTATGCATAATATTCAGTTTCTGGTTTTCAAATAAGTGAGATTATCTGTTAAAACATAAGTAAGCACACCAAACAAATAAAGAGTGTTTACGGGGTGGGGCAAAAGTAGGTTTATAGTTGCTCATAAGGAAAATAATACAGTGGGGCCTTGACTTACGAGTGTCCTGACTAAGGAGTTTTTTGAGATACCAGCTCTCGGCCGTTTTTTTGCATTGAGTTGATAGAGTAATTTGAGTTAACGAGCTCCTTAACGAGCTCGGTCTCAGTAAATAATTAAACTCATAAGTCAAGGCCCCACTGTACAACAATAAATAATAATACAAAAGTAAACACTGTTTTGCATACTCACAACTGTATATCTACTTTTGCCCCACTCTATATATAACAGAGAAGCCTGAGAATTTGAAATTAACGTATATGGACAAAAAGGGAAATTTTACTTGAGAATATCATGAGAAAAAAGACCTATCTAAACCCTATAGTTAGCTGTGTTGTTAAAACTCCCATCCAAAATTACTGTTGGTTCACAAAATCCATGTTAGATATATTATTTGGATTTTTTTATGTGCATAGGAGTCTGAACAATTATTTGGTCCTAATTTACTAGAATTAACCATTTCTAATATTAAAATAAAATAAATTTAAAAATGTTTCTTTATCTATATTGAAAAATTCACGAGTTTGCCTTTCAAAATTAATGGCACCATAACCCATAGACACAAACAACAGTGTGGTGTAGGACAAAGGACGGGGTGGGGAGGACTAAGTGGAGATGGGTAAAGGGTTGGGCGGGGGGATGGGGATATCTGCAATAATGTGAACAATAAAAATAAAGTTAGAAAATAATTTTAAAGTAACTTATTTTGAAGTGAAAAGTAAAGCTGAGAGTGCAAAGTCAAATGAAAACAGATATAAGTTCCTTAATCTCATGTGAAATTTCTTTCAAAAATAGATTTCTGTGGGAAAGCTGTATGCTTTTCTTAAAACTAGAATAATTTAAATTATAATCTTCTAATTGACATATGCATTTTTCTCTGAATTTACCAGCGTTCAAGACTAAGAGTATGTACTTCTGAAAGAAACCTACATGTGAAAGAGGGTTGTTAATTGCAAGCTTTTAACAAAGTTTTATATTTTCTTTATTTTTAATTACATTTTAGTTTCACATGTTAGAAAAGTGCTGATTTTGAATAAACCTTTCAAAACTGCCCTTTCTGTAGCAATTTTAGTCAAATACAGCAGAAAAAAATGTAATAATTAACCACTAAATGCTTTAGACAACTAAGCTTAATTAACCACAAGACTGCTTGATCAACTCTTTCACGGCTTTAGTTGTATTTAGAGCAGAAAGAGAGGAAAGGATGACAATTAATAGAGCATGTAAAGCTTTATGATTACTAGATTCATGTCTCAGTAGCTTCATCAGGAAGTTTATTCATAATAACTTTTACTTTTTAGCCAGTTTTACAACCACTTAGAAAGGACAAACTATCATTTTTTGCATATCACTATTAATTGTGCAGATGGAAGAAATTTGAAATCCTGAAATTCTCATTAACATTTTTCTCGTCAGAAAAAAATCATCTTAAAATGTTAAGTAGACAAGTAAATTATACTTCTTAGTTGAATCAAAAATGTACTTATAAATTTTAACTGATCATATTTGAGGTTTGGGTCATCATCGTTCCTTTATCCAACATTTAAGTTGATGGATATAGTAAAAACTTTTCACGAACTAGATTCTACTTGAATTCCCCCCATACACAGATCCTGCAATATTTCACACATAAAAAATAAAATTTCGTACTATTGCTGCTTTTAAAACTTTCTCAGGAACTTCTTGAAATGAGCAGATGTCTCCAGAATACTGTTTACCCTACTTAGAGAAATGAAATTTAATTGGTAAGGAAAAATAAACAACCACCACATGAAATTCACTCTACAGAAAAATGGCAAAGTGCAATACAAAAAATTGTCAGTAAACTTTGCAAAGAAAAGGAATGTGTTCAACAATGAAGACACAGAGAGAAATAAAATATAAGATAAATTGAATAGAAATAATTAGCTGCAGAGGTGTGAAAATACACACACACACACACACACACACACACACACACACACACACACACACACGTAATATCCAGTGCACAGCTTCTATCTGGCAAGAGCTCTTGCTTTCTCATTTTGGGGACACAGGAAATAGAACTAAACTAGCCTAGAGAATCATATTTTAAGATTGATTAATTCAGGAAAGTGGGAAAAATGCCCCTGAGAATTTCCATTAGAATATTTTACATTAGTAAATAGGATATGTAGTTACCCAAGTTTAACTCAGATTGGTAGGGAGTTTTCTGAGTAAGCAAATATTATTTTAATAGTAATTGTCAGATTATAACTAAAATATAAATAAGCCATCTATATAATTTGTTTATAAACTCAGAATATGTATGGTATTTTATGGAATACCAAGGATTTTCAATATGAATAAAATTGATACCACAGTATAAATGTGCAAAAAAAAATCAGTATTAATAGGTTTAAATATTTTAAACTGGATTTTGTTTATAATTATAAGAAATTGGAAAATTATGTCATATAAATTGTATTTATTTACATATCACAATGGATTATTTAAATGAGTTCTTTGTTTATTTAAAATTATATATACATATAAACACACACGCACTCAGATATACTAGTATATTTTAGATTTTTTTTAATCATAGCAATGTTTCTTTATATATAGTCACTAGAGGCCTGGTGTATGGATTTGTGCACCGGTGGGGTCCCTCGGCCTGGCCTGCAGGGATCAGGCCAAAACTGGCTCTCTGACATCCCCCCAGGAATCCCAGATTGCGAGACGGTGCAGGCCAGGCTGAGGGACCCCGCTGGTGCACGAATCCAGGGCTCTAGTATGCATATAAGAGCTTTGGTTAATCTCTTTCTGCCCTCCCCTTCCCCCCTTCCCACTGAGATTCATCAGTCTGTTCCATGTTCCCATGCCTGTGGTTTCCGCTTCTACATTGAGCTTCTGCCCCGTGGTGGTCAGTGTGCATCATAGCTACTGGTCAGCCAGTCAAACGATCAGCCAGTTGGCCAGGCACTTAGACTTTTATATATAGACTAGAGGCCCAGTGCACAAAATTCGTGCACTTGAGGGGGTTCCCTCAGCCCGGCCTGTGCCCTCTCACAGTCCGGGACCCCTGCAATAGATAGCTCCAAAAAGGTAGGCCCTGCCCACCCACCACCATACTGCCACAGGTTAGCCTGGGACTCCCACTTTGGAGTGATCAATCGTGCCCCGCAGAGGGAGGTCCAGCCCACCTGCCATACTCCCCTGGTCGGTGGCCTGAGCCTCTCTCTTTGGGGCAATCATGAAGCCCCCCAATTGATCAATTGCCCTGCTGGCCAGTGACCTGAGCCTCCCTC